TAGGGAAAAAATGCATTATTTTCTGGCAGGATCTGCCTCATTTGTGGCTCCTCAGCTTTCTTTTACATGATTTTCCCACACCCAACTTTAATTTGGCCCAAAAACTAGCAGTGGCCAGAAGGTGTTCAGACTTTCCTCACCCAATTTATGTATTCCCTTTTCTCCCCCAATACCTCCAGGTGACTCTTCTGCTGTACGACTCAACAAGGATGAGGCAGCTGCTTTCCAAGTCTGTTGTGATTGATGATGATGACGACGACGAATATCCCTGGAGGCAGAATGCTCACAAGTACTACATCCATCTAACCCTCAGCCTTTTCCTCTTTCTCTGGTTCATTCTTGGAAACTACTGGGTTTTTTCTGTGTACCTGCCAAATTTCATCCCACCATTCCACCAGCCTCAGGATTACTGTGACAAAACCCTGTACATTTTCGCTGTTGGCGTTCTCATTACTAGCCATACCATTCTCTTTCTTGTTATCTTTTGTAGCTGCTGCATATATTGTTTTTCCAGGCAAAGATACTCTTCTGAGGAAGACTAAATGCCACTTAAATAAAGCCCCAGATGTTTGGGAAAGTGTACAACAAAGGACAGGCAATAATTCAACCTTGTGTACATCTTTGTTGTACTATATATATGTATGATAGCAGTCAACTGCAAGAGGAAATTGTAAAATACAGTGCCATCTGGAAATAGCTAAGATGGAATACAGCATAGTCAATGTAAAACTGCTGCTGCAGATGCCACGGTGCACTCTTGCTAACTTCTACATCCCTTTTTTAACTCTTGGATATTCTATCTGGAGTAAGGTCTTGCAGATGGCAAACTCCTCTAAAACCAGGTCCCCTTATGTTGTTTCTGCACAGTACATCTTTGCCTATAAAAGCAGTCATGTTGTCCTCTTGACTGGGATCTGAACATCTCCGTTGCCTTGCTGAGGTATGTTATTGTCCCTGTATTACAGAGAAGGGAGCTGAGACAAAGAGATAAAGGGCTCTATTTGGACCACTTTGCATGGAGCATGGACTTTGACAGTACTTTAGATGCTCACCAGAGAGCTATTCAGGCCAGTTAGACCAGCCAGTAAGTAGCTATGATAGCAATACAAGTATGTAGAAAAGGCAGCCTGAATACGGCCCCCAGGTCTCTTCTGAACTTGGATTAGAAAGCATCTATATCTAACTTTGGTGCTAAAACAGATAATCTGAATATATCCATACATATCCAATACATCCAAACGGAGCCAAGGCCACTTTGCAAGTCTTCAGCAGAACAAGGAACTGAGCTACTGAGTATCACATCAGTGCTTTAGCCAGGGCTCAGCATTCCCAAACTTGGGGAGTCTCCTCTTCTCCACTTCTTGTATAGCAGTAGTGTGTCAGTACCACACCAACACAAAGATGGCTGTCAAACCATTGTGATCAAGCTCATTTAAAAAAAGGGTGATGTTATGCTGGTATTTTAAATATAAAATGATACTAAGACATGGGCAGGGATGTGAGAATTTCAGGTGGATGTGTTCACTACAGCAGTTGTCTGGTTGTGGTGTGAGTGTACATTTGATTTGTTCACCTTGGTGCTGTACATATTGAAATCTGTATGTAATGGACAGATATAACGCAAACAGCTTTTAAGTCAACAGCAGTATCAGCTTCAAAAGCACCAGCATGCACAGAGACAATTGCTTCGTGACATGTAATGGAACATAGCTGGTTCTGGTAGATTGTTTTTTCATGTGTTGATGAATGCAGTGTAAAAGTGCTCTTTCTGCTTTTGCTTTTATGCACTTCTGTTAATATGGTCAAAATGGACGGGCTCTCCTCTATAAAAGCATGAGGGTGACCCCAGGCATAGGAAGAGGATGTGTGGTTTGGGTATTTTTTTCTGTTAAAACCCACAGAGCTGAAACCTATGTTTTAGAGAAACCTAAAAGAGATATGCTATGCCTGTGGAAGGGTGAGATCTGTAAGAGAACCTCAACAATGTGCCACAGCTGAACAGGCTCTGCTCAACCATCCTTTCTGTGACTGAGGCTGAACGCAGTGTAACATCTGCGGGAACCACCTGTCTTCAACCATGAAAATTTATCTCAGGAGCTATTGTACAGATAACTAAGGGTGCATTTTGTCCATAAGGATTTTAATTCAGGTGCTGGCTTTAAGAATTGTTTATTTCCAGAAAACTAATCTTAGAAGGAAGGTAGGATAAAGGCTGAAATGATCTGACAAGACAGCAGCATCAGTGTAGCATTCCCCTGCTCTGCAACAGCCACTCAGGAGAAGTCACAGTCAGGCTGTCCGTGCTCAAAAATCCATGGAATGGGAATTGTTAACACTGCTGGCTGACTTAGGCCATGCACAGTTGCATGTAAGGAGATATGACCAATGGAAATCTTTCCTTTTATTCGTGGGCCTCAGGTTGTGTCTCGGAGAAATCACAGGCTGTTGTTTTCCCAAGAGCTGCTCCACCCCACGTTCTCCACTACCTCTCTGTGGTACCACACATTTCTGAAACACAACTGCTGTCAGTGGTGGAATGCTAGAATTCCTCCTTCCCACCCCAAATACTTCATTGGCTCAGCACCTGGGCTCCTGGATTTCAGTGTTCAGTTCTGAACTGATCTAAGTGATTTTACCTTCAGTGGAGAGCATCTTTCATTCATTAAGATGCTGTAGTGTTTAAAAAAATTGCCTACCAGCAGGCATAACTCCATCCATCACTTGAATGCAACAAAGCCGCTGTTTATCATTACAAGTGAACTTTACCCAAAAGCTTGGAACAGGTATAAAAAAAAAAAAAGACAATTATACTCAGTTGATAATGCAAAAGAAATTTAACAAGAAAGTAGCTATACACACTCCACCCATAGAATTCCATTACAAACTTCCCTGTTCTTGCAAAATGCTGCTAGAATCATTCTTGGTCACAAAGAAGTAAGGGCTTATACTCCTGATTAAGTCTGAATTGATTCCCATGTTGCCGTGCATCCAGTGACCTTGCAGCAAGTGATGATGTGTGCGCTCCTATCTGAGCAAATATGAGGTGATTTTATTTCAGCTGGAGGAGATGTAAGCTAAGTCACATTGCCTTGCATTTTCTGTGTGCCTGTGTGAGCATACTTACAGCAGCTCAGCAGATGTGCGAAGATTCATCAAACTTCAGCCGCACAACGGTAAGCCTGAGGCCTGTGTCTCATTCATGGGAGACTAAGACTGACTGATTCTCTGCTGTCTACCACGGAGGCTTAATTCTTCAGGTATGAGAACCCAGTGCATTCACTGACATCTTGGAAAAGCGCTGCCAAATCACAGCGCTAGTGTTCAGTACCTGGTTGGCACAAACGCAAAACGATAGAGGAGGTATTATTGAAGCAAAAAACATTCGTGAAATACTTTGAAATTATACAGAGTCAACGAAAAGCCTTGTTAGGACTGAGAGAGGAAAATTCTGAATTGATAGTATTTACCTGTACTTGTGCACATCGATAACCTATGGCACATGCAAGCGGGAACGTCAACACCTCCAAAATTGCTGGAGCCATCAATTCTGTATCCAGAGACATCTGAGCATACCTTCTGCACTTTCACTTCTACTGCCTCCTTCAGCAGGCTGGAGTCACGCAGGTGTGGAGCAGGGACATCTGGTTTTGGGCATATGATTAAATACTACTGAGTTAGAGTGACTTACTAAGTGAACACTTTTCTGACCCACCATCAGCAGCATAGTCTCTCTTGTGTTGCTCCAATGGCTAAATAAAGCACTCAGCTTAAGCCCAAATGAAAGTAGTTTAATTGAAGGCACTTTATCTCACTTTGGGGTAAGCTAGGAACGTGTGCATGGTCCCCAGCACCTTAACTTGCAAGCAGCAACTTTTTAAATTGCCACAAACTGATGGTGTCCCAGACATATGCTCAGTCTCGGAAGAAGTAGGCACATTTCCTCAGCAAACAGCTGTGGGAGAATTAAGTCATTACAGCCCAAAGGTCAAATGGCTGAAAATACAAACTACACCCTGCTATGAAAATGTTTAGTATTTTGCCGCTAGACTAAAATTAAAAATTGAAAATGTTCATTTTTTTTTCACAGTAATATAAATGTCTTCTGGAAATGGAAAAAAATGCACCCTTGAGCTAATTATTATGAAGTCAGAAATTTGTTGAGTATAATGCAGGAAACCAGCTGTAACTGTTCCAGTTAAATAATCTCCCCTTCTTGAGAAACAAAGGTCTATTTCTAGCTTTTAAAGGAAAAAAATGTACATGATTTCAATGGATTAGATAGCCTGCTCACTGCTAGTTGTGGGTACTACAGAAATCTAATAATATAAAGACACAAAGACATTTCTGTATGCACACACAGACTCTAGACATAGACATCTCATAAATGCAATGGTAGCAGCCATGAAATAACGCACACTTATTACAGTTTATTGCCCACAGTATATTTCTCCTCCCACTACTCCACCTTCTTTAGCAATGGGCACAATATTGCAAAGCTCTATGGAGCAGCTTCCCACAACTATTTTAAAAGCTGCAGGCAGACAGGCAAATGCTTTGTTCCTTCATTCCAAATGTTGAACACAGACAGCTCCTACCTCCTAACCCAAAGAAGAGAGAAAAGATGAACATCAGACATATCACAGACCTCATCTCCTCAGGAGTAGAAACAGGAACGTTGTGCTGTTGGAGAAGAGAAGTAGATCTCTCTCACACAGCACTTGCTATGAGCTTTATGAGGTCCCAAGAAATCAGGCTTTAAAATTACAAGGTAACTGTGCAGAAAAAATAAAGATGCAGAAGCTATTCTAGGTTATGTAAAAGCTGTTTTGAATGTCTCAGATCCTGAAATGTGAACAGTTGGTGTAAACGAGCCTAAATGCTTTGACTTTACAGGCAAAGGGCTATGAAGATTAAACCGGTGACAACTTCTATACATTGCATATTCTAAACCAGAACAGTTGAATCTTGAATCTTAACTCCGATTATTCATCTTCCCCAGATTCTACTTGATAGGGACTTTGCATCATGATGAAGACCCATGTATGTTCTCCATATAATAAAGGATTGTTACATCAGGACTGTAATTTGAAATTGTTGCTTCTTGGCTTAAGTTTCTTGAGGTTCCTGTTCACTCCTGGACTACATGAAAGTCCCACAGATGCTAGCCATAAGAGGAAAAAGAAAACATTTTTAGAAAGTATAACATTTGAGGGGAAAAAAAAAGGCTGACAAGTGACATCTAATATTGCATAGTACAAGATAAAGTACAAGAAAACTGCTAAAAAGAAC